CCTGCCAGTGTCTTAGATCAACCTAACAGAGAAACTTAGTTATAAAAATGTGAGTGGGGCTTTTTGTACTTTGGCCCTTAGCCACGGTCCTTATTTTTGGTGTGTACACTGATTTTGCTGGGAGTTCATTTTTGGAGAAAAGTCCTCGAATGCTCTGAATGCATTGGGTAGCTCTGGGAGCAGAGATCATGCAAACAGTTTGTCCTGAGGGTAACAGCAGGAAATCTTGTCACACAGCACCGTGAGGCCAAGGTTGTGTACAAGTGTTATGTACATGGAAATCTTTAGTATCACCCCGGGTTTCCAAGCTACTGGCTCAACCATAAAGGCAACAGGGTGTGAATTAGAAAAGGTTACAGCTTTATGACGAGAAACTTGGAAGGTCCCCAAGACCACAAGGATGTAAAGAAGGCTGAAATCCCATCTCTTTTCAAACTTTATGATAACTTCATTTGACCAGGGGGGCTGGCTCCCACCACTGAAAAAACAGTATTTTGCTAAGTTTTCTGACCTTAGTGATGTCCGTGTAATCTCTGAGTCCTTTGGTCATGCACCAGTATCTCCACACGTTGAGAGCATAGAGGGTGGCCTTGGTGGTGGTGGGGCTCACAGCACTGATACACAGGTGCTTGAGGTTGTCATCAAAATTAAAGATGGGAAACTTGTTGAGCTTAGCTGAATACGCTAGAAAACAAATAAAGAAAGGGGATAAAAATAGCTTGTTCTAGTGACATGCCGCCACCATTTCTGGCTAAGAGCAACTCGGTGTTTTTCACAAAATGTAAGGAATTTAAGAAAGATGAAACACAGCACTTCCCTGATGATTTCCCATGAGTTTGTGCGCTGAAAACTCAGATGTGGCAGGAGGGGCACCAACATGAAGTCACCCTAAGGTTGCCACAGAGCTAAAAATGTACTGCCATGCAGAGCCAGTAATAGAGAGGGAGGAGTAACACGGCATCTTTTACCTTGCTGCAGAAACACCAGGAGGATGACAAAGGCAAAGGTTTTTCCTTTGCTAGTCGACTCAGGAGCAGGGGAAAAACTCGTCCTGTTCCTATACAGCCTGACTGTGCTGCTGGTGTGTCACACCACCATGGGTGTCTGTCCAAGTTAGACAGGCAATGCTAACCAGGTAGGATTTTCCACTCATACCCGCTTTCTACTCCCTGTTAGGCACAACAGAATCAAGTCCTGTTGCTTCAGTGGACCAAAGGCAGGTGCATCTTGATAAATACCATGAGCTATGTGAAGACACGCAGTGTGCATTTTTTAAGAGAAGAGCCTCAGCCCCACAGGCAGGAACTGAAAGTAGAGGATTGATGGAGAACCTTTTTATAGATGTTCAGACACTTAATATCCTTTATGAAAGAGTAATACATTTTTATGATACCACTATAATTTTATTATATCCACTACACTTTAAGTCTACTTTTTACAGGGCTGAAGCTAATGGATTTTGCAGCCCAATGCATGTTAGCTGTGAAAGGTTGCTCTGAACATCCATGCACTGAGCTAGTGATTCCCATGGCGACCATCTCAGCACAGCAGGAAAAGGGAAGAGGTGGTACACTCAAGAGGAGGGAGATGTTGGATTTCTCATTCTAACCTTCAATTCTGCAGCCACAGCTGACCGTTACTGCAGCCCCAGAGGTGTTACTCTGCACACTAGGAAGAGGTGATTTTAAAAAGTGGTTTCTATTGTTGCAGCTTTTGCTGTTAATATAGTATATAAAAGGTAAAGGAACTGCATAAACACAACTGAAGAACCCACTGCAGGCAAAACAAGCTGGAAAGCTGAATAGATGCACCATGCACAGCCTAACAACCTAAGCATGTTGTTTGATCTTCTGAACTCTGGACATTCCTATAACAGGAGTCCTCAGTCTGTGGTCTGCAGACCCCTGATAGCCCAGGGTCTCCTCCTGAAAACTCCAAGAAAGATTGCTGGAAAAAAAAAGCATGCTACGCAGAGGGCATATCTGAAAAATGCACATTGCCATGCAAGCCCGTCCAGGGGCAGAGGTCTCGTGAGCTGAAGGGACCTGCTCTTCCTTCTGTACGCCACAACTAGTCAGTGGACAAAAGTAGGACTTCTTTCCATCTGAAAGGTAGGCTGCAAGTATTTTTTCTAAACTGAGCTGTGTTTACAAACTTTGCTCACGGCAAATGATCTTCCTCTGTCTGTGCTGACGACCACTGCCTGCGGTGGCTGGCAGCTGCCTTGCTCTCCTGCTAGCCCAGGAGCCCAGGGGTGGTGCTGCAGAACGGGAGTGTTGTGACAAATTCAGGTGGCATGAACTTGGCTGGAAGTTACTCCAGTCAGTGGCTTCACGAGCTCTGCGCAGTGAGTTATTAGGCGGACAACTCTGCTAAAGAAAGGCCAGGATGCTGATGGAAATGATGAGCTGTTCAGTTGCCAGCAGTCTCCTCAACAAGGGTTTGCCCTCTTGTGCCCTCAGGCCTTGCTACAACCCTCTTACAGTGACTGTTCAGGCACTGTTTGCCCCCTACCAATAAGCAAATCTTAGGTCAGTTCTCCATAAAGCCTCGCACCTCCCAGGATGTTTGTTTGCCCAGCCCATGGATTGCTAACATTCACCCCCACGGCACATTTGCCCACAAGTTGCTTGCTGCTCTGCTTCTGAAATTGCCATCTCACGAGCTGCCACCAGCTCACACTGCTGGCTCACCCAAGGACTACCTCTGAGAGCAGCAAGAGCACTTCGGGAAACAGACTACTAAAATCAAGAGCCCCAGTGCCAGTTGCCCTGGAAGATACAGCAGCACCAGCCTCGCTGAAGTTCTCATACTGCAATTAATCCCACAGGGATTAATTAACTTCTGACAAGCCTCGGTTTGAAAATTATGGTGGCCGTTTCCCGAATCACAGTATCACTCAGGCAATTTATTGAACCACAACAGAAGACAGAGACTTAGATTGCTTCTGGCTTCTCAAGGTGGGGTTTATCATGTGCTAGGAAATTAAGTCATAGTTCCTGGTTTCTCCAAATTCCGGATTTTCAAAACTGGGGCGTGTGGTTTGAGCTGAGCTCTGATACCTGATAGAGCTAACAGTAACAACTGTTATTAGTGCTGCTTCGGTCCTGAACTGGGACAGCGAGTCACGTGCTGCACCAGAACAGGATACGCAGATGGCCATTCAGGGATGTTTCATACATTGTGCACGGTGATGCTCATTAACATCTGTATCACTTCTTTTTCTTCCCAATAGACACCGTGTCCTCATAAAATCAGAAAACTACAAAGATTGGCGCGAGTTGCTCTAAGGCTTGAAAGTGTAGCCAAATCAGAAAGCGATGGCTACTGTGAGCAGAGTGCAGCTCTAATACTTGCAGCAAAGGAGTCTTAGCATAACAAAATAAAAATGAAATAAAATGATGGTGTTGTGATGACAGGCACGTATCAGCTACCATCTGTAAGGGTGTTGTATCATCAGAAGGCTGGAACAAGAATTACCCAATTTTCCACTCCTGCAGAAAATAGATCATCCTTCTTCTCTTTTTTTTTTATCAGCATAATGAATACTTGCTTTCTTTTATCCGGGAGAAAAAGATAAGGGTATTCCCATCCTGCCTTCATCGCTGACTTCAGTAGCTGCATACCAAACCACAAAGCTCTTTGCCCGACATCGCCTGTCAGCAGCTGGATGATGCTCTAAGAGTTGTAAATGATGTCTGAACACCTTGTGCAGTACATCGCCAGGAGACACTAAGAAAACTTACACCCTTACCGAGCGTGGACAGGAGTTCTCACCGGGACCTGTCAGACAGAATTTGGAAAAGCATTAAGCAGCCAGGAACACACATCTCTTTTCCAGAAGGGCCTTGCAAACACTGGTGCTCTGGGTTATAATCACATCAACGCTTGAAGGTTCTGGATCAAGTCCCGCGAGACTGCATTTTTATGTGTGTAACTCACAGGCTGCCTGTGAAAGCAAGCAAGTCCTGACTCAGTACCACTGTAGGTCCAGCATGAGTAATTAACAAACATAGAGGAGATCTTGCACCTAAATCTCAGAGTCCTGCTCCCTCACCTCTAATATGCCTTTTGCCTCCCTCTTCCTCGAGGTTACCCAAGGCCTTATTTTCAAACAACATTTCAGGGGATGTGGGCTAGGTATGTGAATACGCAGCACTTGAACACCTCAGTCATGATGGACTTTGAAAAAGTCATCTTTGTGTTTGGGTCACCTGATGCAACGCTCGCAGCAGAAACCCTGCAAAATCAACACAAAATGGCCATCTGCACAGGCACAAGCCCTCTTGCCAAACTTCTGTCACCGAGATGATACACTGTACAGGAAAAAAACAGTTGTATTTGTCATTGCTTGCCAAAACATGTACATACCCTACATCTACGCAGACAACTGTGCTATTATCTGATGGTTTGTAGGTGCTCCATGCCAGACCTTTTAAGTTGAAATGCACAGTAAATGTCTAGACACCTAATGCTCTGCTCCATGCTGAGGCCAGGAGTTGTACTGCCTGTGTGTTTGGTGAGGGAAGAAGAGGAGGGTTGCCAGACAAGCTAACAAGACGCCATCAAAACTGGTGAGGTCTCAGATCCAATTTCTCTTTACATCTCTGCATTCTTCCCCTAAAGCAAAGGCAGTTCCTCACACATTGCCTGTTGCTGCTCACGCTGCAAATGAGCAGCCACTGTCTCAGTGGCACTACGTCAGAAAAGCCAGGGGACTGTATTCATCCTCCCTCTATAGAAGCAAACGTATTAATTCCCACCCATCTACCCTAAATAAAGAAGATAAAGATGTCTGCCATATGTTCCTGAAATCCCCAGATTCTACTCATCTTTAAATGGCCTTTACTCATTTTTGTGCTAGTCCATGCTGCAAAGATGTTGACACATGTCACAAGCTCCTGGCAGATACCACTGTTGTCCAGAAAGAGCAGGGATTTTAGGTGCTGTTTGGAGGCCACCCAGCTCTCTCAAAGTGAGCAGGGAGACACTCCTGTGCTCCCCACTGGCTTGCAGGCACCAGGCGTCTGATACAGCACCGACATGGCCTGACCGATTTCTGACCATAGCAGATGGCATTGCAGAGGATTCAGCTTAGCTGTCTGGTTTCGTAGGATAGGCAATGCTTGATCTGCTCAACAGTTTCCTCAGGCAACCCTCTGCACACGAGAACATCTGGCCACCCTAAGACTCCAAGAACATTTCTGAGCTTCCCTCACCAAGGTCCAGACAGAAATCTCGTTCCAAATGCAGATGAATGGCATCATCTTGTGTTACGGGGTTAACGGCTCCGTAGCTAGCAGCATCTTATCTCCTCAACACTCAATGCTTCTGCCTGCCTTTCCCTGGGTATACATTCAAAGCCGGTTTTTCTCCAGTCCTGTTCTGTTTGCCATTTTGCATGGGGACAAGAATAACTAAAAATGGTATACTTGCAAGTACACGAGGAGTTCCAAGGTGAATAATCATGCTACACGCAGGATTTTATCTTCAAGCTATTCCAGGTATTTTTTCCTCACAGCTTTCAGAGGAGGAGCAATAAGCACGTCTCATGTGCTGCCAGTCTTGCATGTGCATTCTCTTCTGGGTACCTGTAGGAATTTGGCCCTTAGAACAAAGTGTCCATATACAAATAGCTGTATCTTTTCATACATAGCCATCTTTTTTTTTTTTTTCTTTCTAAT